CCGCCCTCTACCCGTCAAGGGTTAACCTCCCGAGGTTTTACGTACTCCTTCGTGGCGAGATACTCCACCAACTCTCCTCTCGCTATTATGCTTTCTACCTGTCGCTGAAGGGACCTGCAGTCATTGGTGGTATGCCCATAGTCTCTATGGTAGGCACAATGTTTGCTTTTGTCCCTCTGCTCCAAGGGTTGTTTCATGGGCTGAGGAGTTACGAACCTCGTCTTATTCTCTTGGAATAGGCGCGCTAAGGTAGTACGGAGAGGAGTAAACCTGTCCTCTGTCCTTCGCCTCTTCTCAGGCGCTTGGGTGACTTGTGTGGCGGTATGAGGAACCTTCTGCATCCTTGTGCTCGCAGCTTTCTCTCTAGACTTGTTTTCCACTGTGACGAGGGTAGCGTGCTGTGCACGGTGGGCTACGTTTTCCTCCAACCGAATGTAGATTTGTGCCCTAACGTTCAAAGTCTGCATATCCGGGGGGGGGGGGGGGGAATATTTAACCAAGGATGTGTGAAACTTGGTTCCCTGGATCATTGCCAACTTAAATGTTTCGATTGCCGTGGCAGGGTGGCAATCTGCTATCTCCGAGGCCTCCATGTTAAACCTGGATAAGAAATCTTGCAAAGTTTCTCCCTTCCTTTGCCTTATGGTGAAAAGGCTGGCGATACTTTTCTTCTGCTTCTTATTTCCGCAATACTGGGCTAAGAACATAGTGCATAAGGTCTCATAATCAGGGATGGACTTGTGTGGCCTATTCCTGAACCATTCTAACGCTGCTCCGGTTAAACTGGTAGGAAAAACCTTACACATCCACGGATCGTTATGATCGTCCAGTGCCATTTTTTGCGCATAATGATCGAGATGCCGAGAGGGGTCTCCTGCCCCATCGAACTGGGTGAAGGATGGCATAGTGAACTTCTTTGATCTCTCCACAAGGTACACATCGTCAGTAAAGGGGGTCTTGACCAAGGAGTTCTTGTGCTCTCTAACCATCTCGGCTGGTGTCTGAACTCTTAATAGCTTCTTCTCGTCGAAGGCATCTTGTACGCGTGCGCCATCTGGAACACCATTGGACCATACCGTAAGCCTATGGCTGGACTCGGCCTGTTCGTCCTGTGTACGGCACGGGAGATTATCCGAAACAACCACCTCGGACCTCGTCCCTTGCTTTTGCTGAACCTCATTAGGTCGAGCCCCGTTGGGTGGTGTCCCGTTGGCCGGAGGCTCGTGAACTGGAGGTAAATTCTGGGTGGGGGGTGGTGCTGCAGCATCGCTTGGTGGTGGTTGTGGCGTTAGCCTGGCCATTGCCGTGTGCAGCGTATGAGTCTGCTACTGTAGCGCAGCTATCTGGGCGACACTCGTATCGTTTGCTTGCCGGAGTGTCTCAAATTGGTGCAAGAACTCTTCTCACATCTTTTGCATCAATTCTATCTGTTGATTCATTGCTGACTCTCCGTTTGACATTCCAGTTACGACTAAGGATTTGAAGAACAAGTGGGAGTATATTTTTATACGATTCCCACAGACGGCGCCAAAGTGTAGTGCAAAATTTCGCTCAACCAATAATGATTAAGAAAAATAAAACAACTCACTCAATCAATAGTAAAAATAAACAAGAACAATATATGTCGAAGCGTAGAATTTCTTAATTTCTTTATTGGAGGTCTTAGCCTCTATTTATATACAAAAGATTGTAAAATTATGGTAGGACTCGCGTTGCTTGCCCTCCAATTCTTTCTATATAAACATTCTTTACTTTCCATTGTCTAATTTTCCATACATAGAACTTGCCTTGTACAGAACTTCCTATCTCAGAATTTTCCTTCTACAGTAAATCCTTCAACTGGTAGGACTTGTGCATTCTTGAATAACTGGGCTGAACATATTTTGATCCGGCTGGGCTTGAGTAACGGACCGGATGTTAAATATTAACAAGTTGGGCTGATGACCTCTTAATTCGGCCTTGATGGAGGTTGGTGGACAAATAACAACGGTCTTGGGTTATAAATACCCTCAATTTGGGCTTGAGCATGATGGGCCTTATATGTCATTGGAATGTAGATATGTGTAGTGATGACGTGTGCGCTTTTTATTGGAGGGAGTTTTTTTCCCTTCACACCAGCCTTTCAGATTTATTCACTTTTATGTAAAGAAGAAGAGAGAAGATGAAGACCAAAATAGATATATTCATATACATATATGTGTGTGTGTTCACATATCTATGAATTAAACAACGAGATCATATATGTTTAGAAATGGAGGAAATTGAGAGAAGGGCCAGAAAATAGAGAAATACTTAGACTTTGAACCCACATGGATATAGATAAGAACAAGAGAAGACGAAAGTTGTCTGCTCTGAGAGCATACTCTGGGGGAACACTGAAAGAATCATTTGGGGGAAGTCTTTGGAATGTAATTTTAAAACTTTTTTTTTTTTCGGAAAGTTGTAATTTTAAAACTTTCAGACATATTTTTATTCCCCTGATGGGCTTGCTTTTTAGTCTTTTATTTTTACTTTTGTTTAGATCCGCTTCATTCACTTCAAATTTGGGTCTCATTCATTTTGAACTTCAATTATTTTTGGTCTGATCTGTATTATTTCAGCTAGCCCATGGACTTATTAATGTTTACCACACAATAATATATTTGTAAATACAATATAAAAAATATATAATTAAAATAAATGTATCAAAAAAATACTTAGTAAATTAATATAATAATATTTCACATAAAATAATTATATAAATATAAAATATATAATATACAGGCGCTCTCAAGACCTCCTGCTTTCACCTAATTTTAGATTTTGCCGCTCTCGCTCCCGCACCTGCATTATGTGACTTAGATTATACTTACTACTTACTTCTCTTGAGATTTATATGTAAGTGACACACATGTCCCCTTCTTTAAGGGTCAACATGGTCAATTACGAAAAATGTTGACAGATAAGGAAGCTAGACTCCGTTTGTTTCGTCGTAAATATTTTTTCTTTTCAGGTAAAATATTCTTTAATTTTTACTTTTTTCTTTTCAGGTATTTGTCAAAAGTCTATGTCGAGGTTGAGGCCGAGTCCATTGAACGAGACATGTAAAATAACTTGCCGAAAATTGATGGATAAGTTATTTTTGTTAAATTTTAATATTTTTTTTTTACTTCGTAAATATTTTACAACAACCAAACATTAGAAAATAGTAAAATATTTTCTAAAAAATATTTTACATCCAAACAAATGGAGCCTTAATGTAATTTTACAAATAAAAAAAGATGTCAGAGTATATTGACAGATTTACTCATAAAAAAATTGTCATATTAGCTTTCAATTTTATTTTTTTCATATTTGATCTTTAACACTATGTTTGGAATGCTGGAACCGAAAGGCAACTCTATTTCCAAATACCAAATCACTTGAAAACTGATCAAAAAGCTGGAACCGAGCATAGTGAAATTTGATCGGATTTATAAACTAGATTAGTGGTAGGTTTATAATTTTATCAAATTGCCACTCATTTTTAGTGAAACATAAATGAAATTTGATTTCAAATCTAACCACATTTTTTTTCAATTTCAATTTCAAATCCCAAAGGAATTTAGTTCCAAACATAAATAAAAGGGCAAATTATATCTAACACCCACGTGATTTACATATTGTGCAGTTAAATAGAAATATGAAAAATATAAGAGTAAGGTCCAAATTGACTATTTGACTTTTGAATATGAGAGTTAATTTAGATATATAACCTCAAGACACTAAACCATTATTCAAAAGAAAAATTTGGAAGGAAGTTGACGAGGGTAACTTACGTTTTTACCCCTTCTTAATGGGTTCACCCTTATTTTTGGTTATCTGGGCAGTACTTGCTAACTTAAATATGTTCTTTTTTGGCCTCACTAGTTTATGTGTATGGGTAGTAAACATGTGTATAAGTTATGTGGGCATCTCGTTTTATAAATCAGTATGGAAAATATAATATATATATATATATATATATATATATATGTATATGTTGGTGAATTAGTAAGGAAAATATAATACAATGTACCACACTTTCAAAAAATACCACACTACATGACCAAGTCCCTGTCACTAGGATACACAAGCATATAACATGATTATAGCTGAAACACAAAAAATAAAGATGCTTCCAAAGACCATCATCTTGGCTATTCCTAACATGGCCTAAGTTGTGTAATTACATGTAAAACATGGGTTAGTGTAAGACATTGGTTTGATGGACCATTGATGTTCCATACAAAATTTAATTCAAATAGTGGAGGAAAAAGTTTTGCATGGCTAGACGTAGAGATAAAGGAAAATGACATTTTTGTCTTTTTTGAATGATATAATTTTAATTCAACGAATAGATAATTTGGTTTTATCATAATATCAAGGTTATTTATGTCCAAAAGAATAATTACACTATATTAATTTGATCACAAGGGTAATTGATGAATATATCGCGCATATTTTTATTTAGGTGTACAATATAAAATCCTCGTGAGTTTTAAATGTAATTTGCCTTAAATAAAATTGAGCTTAAGGATCCGTTGACAGTAAGTACACAGAACACAAAGGGGTTAAGTGTAATAAAACCTCGTGGCAATTAGTCCAATTACTCTGCATATCCGCTAGCCGTCTCCACCCGATGCATCATGCAAGTTCCATCTGTCAAGTGATCCAACGTCCGTGATCTCTTCTGGACCCATCCAACAACCCAAACACTTCACACAATTTAATACACGTACACACGATTAGGTATGAGAAAAAATGATTGTCTTTTCAATTACCTTCTCGCTTTTTAGCCTTTCCTTTTCATACGGACCCCAGCGATCCAGGTATCTGATCCCCAACTCTCTCTCTACTGTCTCTCTCTAAACTTCCCTCTCCTTTTGACCTTCGCTTTTCGGATCGTAATCATACAACAATCAAAACGCTTCCTCGATAAAAATCATTAATTTAAACGCAAGTACGTTGTTCTATAACCCCTCTCTCTCTCTATATATATGTATATGTGTGCATATTAGTATTCTGTTATTATTATTATTTTTTTTATAGCATAATTTTAACGGTTGTAAGTGTCTTTTGGATTTGTTTTTCCGAACTACTGATCTGTGATATTTTTGTTGGTTCTGTAATTTTGCCATGAAAGGTCCTTTTCAAGCTGCGGTGTTTACTAAATCAAAATTGACTTTCTAGAAATGCAATGAGAAATTAAACATGGATGAAGCTTCGCCGATCTTGGGCAATTCAATTCAAAAGTAATTTTTTGACCAAAAAAAAGAAAAACGAAAAAAAATTCTAACAGTAATTTTGACGGAAACTATGATTTTCTTTGGAACAGGGATTTTTTGGGTTGATTTCAAGGGAAATAAGAGATTCTAAAGCTGCGACACGGTATTGAGATGAGACAGGGTATTGTCCAGAGACAGGGTACTGAGATGAGCTATGAGAGAAGAATCATTTCCATGTTTGGTTAAATCACTTTGAAAGAGACAGAGAGATAGTTCTTGGAAGGGTAATCCTTACGTTTGGTGGTTTGATTGGATAGAAGGGGAATTTTAGAGGGATAGATGGGGTCTTTCAAGGGGCATGTTCTTCCGGGGACGTTGTTTCTTTTGGTTGGGGTATGGCATGTATGGAGCTCTTTGTTCAGATATGTAACAAACCCCAAGTCGTTTCGAGTTAGGGTTTGGAATCCTGTACCGGGTTTTGATGGTAGGATCAAGCACTTGGAGCTTTACCTTATAGCAATTGGCGCGTTTATTGATATGTGCATAGAGCTCCTGTATTCAACCCACCTGAATTTCTTTATTAATGGTGTATTGAACCCCCATCATATGAACGATTTTGAGCACTCCGGAATGCTTCTCATGTTCTTCATCTTTGGCGTCATCACTCTGCTCTCAGAGAAAACCAGGTCAGTGTGTCTCTTCTTTAATGTTCTTAGTTGTTTTTCCCCTTATGTTATTTATGTACAAATCTGTTTCAATTCTGCAATGTAGGAAAGGGAAAGAAATCTCGTTTCTTTGGTTTTTCACTTCTCCAATGTAGAAAAGAAATCTGTTTTACTAAACCTTCACAAGCATAAACTGATAACTTTGATAGGAGTCATAGGACACTAAAATTGTTAGCTCACTTAAGTTGACTTTTTAAATTTTGGGAACCCAAAACAACAGAAATTGCAACAGTTTAAAATTAGCCCTAAAAATTGCACTGGTGGCTATTGCATATGTTCTTTTACATTTTTGTCATTTACTGAAGGGGGAACAGAGAAAAACTAACAGGGAATGATGGTGTGACATATGCCAGTGTTAATTTTTAGGGGTGCACATTCCAGACATCATTGATTTTTTGTTTTTTCTTTCTTTTGTGAATACTTTTGCCTTGTTCCATAGGATCCTCATTTTCCTATTAAAACTGTGCAGGGTATCTGATAGAATGCAGTATAATTTACCTACTAAAGAAAATGGATGTGAGATACCAACAGGCCTATGGCCTAGCGGAACCAGACCCCCACTTCTCAAAGGGAGATCAGGGGTTAGAACCTCAGTGGAGACGTGTGTGTGTGAGTATCAACTAAAAAAAAAAAAAAAAAAGAAAAAGAATGTGAGATAACAAATTTTAATTGTGAAAAAGAATCAAATAACGAAAAATACATTCTCATACTTCTTCAAGATGACCAAGGCCTGTGGTATTTCTCCTCCTTTCAAAGTGAAAGGTAGAGGATTCGATTCTCCCAAGAGCATTGTGGGAGTTCTTTGCCGGGGATAGAACAAAAAAAAAAAAAAAAAAAACCTTCTTCAAGGTGAAACTATGTTGAAAGAAATGGAATTGGTTTTGAATGACAGAGGTAATGAGTGCCAGTGCTTATTTATATTAAGAATCCATTTTCTTCAAATATGTCTGTCCTACTCTCATGGTAATCATGATGGTGGCATATATAGTTAAGTGCTGTAAATCCTACATGGAACAAGTGTTTGCTTTTTTAAAGATAATGATAGATTTTTCGCTTAGTTAAACAAGGCATTGAGCCATAGGTACTAGTAATTTCCCTTTAGTTTGAATCAATTGCCTTCTTTATTTCTTAAAGCTTTGGTGTCTTGCTTTTAGGCAACACAGCATTACAAGGAAAAAACAAAAGATCACACTCCTTACTGCAGAGGTTCTAGTGCTCCAACTATTAAATGTTTGGCTAATCTATAATAGGCCATAGCCCAATAGGCCATATATGTTGATGGCACTAACGCGACCATAATTTCCATTGGTGATATGGGATGATTTGCGGTGAAAGAAATAAAAACGAGAAACGAACTGCAAAGTTCTCAACTTTGCAGGATGCGAAACAAAGAATAATAATCTATAGAGCCGTTCCAGTGGAGAACTTTGCTAGGCATATTTTTATGTGTTTCTCCTTTTCTCAATATATTATCTTGGGTTTTCCTGGCAATTCAATGTGCATTGTCTCACACATTTTGGCATATCAATGTTGCAAGAAACCTGGTGAAACCGATTGCTTTTATTTTAAGAATTTAGTCACAGTTACTGTAGTAGATGTCCATCTTTGATACAATAATAGAGAAGTTTACGACTCCCAAGAGGCAAAATGGATGTGACAGTTTATTGTTATTTGAATAAATGACAAAGTCTTGTCCAACTTTTTGGGAATTTAGATTGTTAATTAAAAGGATAATTATCTCAAAGTATCACTGGAATGACCTATATACTATATAATTTTTTTGGGATATCTTTTGCCCCTTTGAGGGAAAATGACTTCCTTAAGGACATCGAAAGACTATGGTACCAGCAATTTGACTGTTAATATATTTGGTAATGCTTAATGGTGTTGGAGAAACTGTATAATTTTATGTCCAGTTGAATGTATACGACTTGATAAAAGGTCTGTGTCAAAGTGAGTTTCTAGAAACCTCAAGCGATGTTTCTGATAATAAGCAACAATTCAAGATCAGTTAGAATTAAATAAAGTGACTCTTAGAACTAACAAAATACTGTCATATGCTAGAAATTTTCGCACTTCTGAAGTTTTAAAGAGAAATAACATAATTCTGTCTGCATTTTATTACATTCATGATTCATCACAAAGTACTGACTTGAAACATTTATTATTTTTTTTGCAAATTTAAGTCCTAGAAGCACAACTAGAACTCTTCAATTTAATTTAGATTTGGATTCTCATATTATGTAAGGAAGGCAGGCTGAAGTTAATCATAGACTATGGCTCTAACCACTAGAAAATCCCACTGGGACAATCTTTAGTCAATTAAAACCTTGAAACACTTTTTATTACTTCAAAAGCACATTAATAGATTGTTAACTTGCACCTCAATTTGGGTAATCCTAATTGATGTATGAAGTGCAAAATTTTGAATATATGGCAAGCCTGGAAGCACAAGACATTTGATTCACTTATTTCACATTAAGGAACTTGGACCTCAGATGTTGGAGGTCTCATGATCATTTCCTTATCTCATTGGTTGTTGTAGCATGCCTTATATTATGTGCTGAATGTTACACATAAAAGTATGTTCTTTACGCGAAGTGAAAACATAGCGTAGCTGCTAAAATCGTGATTATAAGACCACTACCATTACTGATGCTCCATTTATCTGTTTAATAATTGGTTCACACCATAATGTTAGTATTCTTGTAATGTGATACATACCGTATTCTTGTGATGTGATACACTTTTAACAAATGCAGACCTTAATTTTTGTAAAGAGTTTTTACTTTCAGTACTAAGCAAGCAACTTTTTACCTCTTGTTCAGTTTTCTTCCATTGCCAGAAGGAGCTTTGTGCTTGATTGCTGCCACGGCATTCTGTGCAGAGTATATACTATTCTACTTCCACTCAACTAGCCATACAGGCCTCGAGGGATACTACCACCTCCTCCTCGTCCTCCTTATAGGCCTCTGCGTTTTATCCACCATTGTCGGGGCCCTCATCCCAACCAGCTTTCCAGTTGATTTGTGTAGTGGCATTGCTATAACACTCCAAGGCCTCTGGTTCTATCAGACGGCATTCACCCTCTACGGCCCCATGATGCCAAGTGGCTGTCAGCTCAAGGAAGATACGATTTCATGTCATTCAAAGGATCAAGAGGTCCGAGGAGAATTGCTTGCGAACTTCCAGCTATTTGGCATTTCGTTTGGTTCCCTTGTTGCGGTTGTTGTATCGTACATTTTCGCAGCTTCGAGATTTGGGCATTCTGATCTTAGGAGCTCGCATGCAGCTCTGGATGGAATAGATCATGATTAAAAAGTAGGTTAACCTCGTATCCCATTCATCTAGGGTTTCTTTTTTTCCTTTCAAATGCTGAGGGACTATAGTGTCTTCTTTAGAAGACAAAAGTCATTCATATGTGAAATAGTTAATTTTGTTTACATGCGTTTTTAACATTTATGTCACTTGTAGGAAATTAGAACAATCTCATGGGATCCAAACAGTGATTATATATGTGCAATAAAAGAAACCCATTCCCGTGTATTTGTATGATTAAGGGATTTCAATTCAGTTCCCTCTAAAATATGATGCGTGGGATATTTTGTGAACTAGGATTGATGATCAAAATGTCTACAGAGAATTTATATCCCACCGTGTGTGAAATTTTAACCCATTCTCATTTGACATTTTCAGCCCACTTCTAAATCATTTTAGTTGAGTTATTAACACACACAAATAATAAAATTGACCACACTCGGTGTCTAACGAAGTTGTATAGTTCATGAGCTTTATGCATTGTTAGACGTCCTAAAATTTGCTTTTTTTAATGGTAGTATCGATCTTATGCATTGGATGACACTTTAACAACTATTCTAGACTATATATATATATGCTAGATTTTTTTTTTTTGGTTGTTGTGAAGCCTCCCTGTTCATAATATCCTTCAAAAAGAAGCTGAAAATACTCTTGAAAGAAGAGGAAAAATGGAGAAATTGTCCTAAGCTTGTGCTCCCTTTCCAAAAATAAAAAATAAAAACCCCAAAGCAGAGTGGGATCTTTTTATCACAATCTTGTACAAATATTGAGGTCCTTGTCTAACAATTTGAAAAACATATGTGCAAGAAATATGGTACTAAAAATCTTAGTCACACAACTAAAATTTTAAATTTTTCTTTAGTTTTACACAATTAAACTCTTAACAGAAAGAAAAATAATCAAAGGCGGTGTAACCTAATGGTACTTCCTCGACTCTCTCTCTCTCTCTCTAGAAAGTTGAATTTAACTATTTGAAAAGATTGTACTACAAATCTTTCACTCTATATTTTTATTTTGTGATTTTTTACAATGTGATGCCTAGCCACAATGTACTTTTTGAACTATTTAAAAAATAATAATGCAAATTTAAAAGGGACTCGTGATTTCATAACAATTGTCATAAAATCAACCTCTCCGCTATTACTTAAAAATAATAATAATATAAAGAAAATGGGGTATGAAATAACCATAGCAGATGCATCGGATGGAACGTGTAGTTGATAGTATATCTCCAAGACCCGAACTTCTTGTTTCAGAGGGATATATCAAATTTGATCAACCATTAACAAGTAAGCCGAATGTGGGCGGATTTGGTCAGGGAGATGCAGAAATAATACTTCAAGATCCATTATGTGTTTATGGTCTTTTGTTCTTCTTGGCATCTATTATTTTGGCACAAATATTTTTGGTCCTAAAGAAAAACAGTTCAAGAAGGTTCAATTGTCCAAAATGAATTTCTAGATTCAAATGTAGACTGATTTGCTTAACCTAAAATCAGAACAAATTTATACCGGTTCATTCGCTTTTATGACACTCGCTTTGTGTTGCAAAATTTTGCAGAAATCAAATACGACTTTATTTCCACGCAAAGAAAGCAAAAACCCTACTCACAACTTGCAATTTTATTCTGAAAAATCTCTCAAAACACTAAATTCATCAATGCTCTCCTGCTCTCTCTCTCTCTCTCTAACATCTAGTCTTGTTCATCGTTTTGCTGGGATTTCTACTTTGTTTATATACAATTTCGATCCATATATATATATATACACACACACACACACACAGACATATATATTTTCAGTTCCTAAAACATCAATTTTGGATGCAGCAATTGGACACAAAAATGTCGCGATTTCCTCTCTCCTATCAGAAACTTCGAAGGAAAATTTTGTGCGAAAACGTATGTGTTTCCATCTGCTTGTATTAACGTTTAGTTTGTATATGTGTGTGTTTATGTATGTTCGCCAACCAATTAAAATTTTAGGCTTTCTGTTTTGTTGCAATAAATTCAAGAAAACGAGAAAAGTATAAATTCTTTTAGCTTTTGAATCAAATTCCTTTTGATTTTCTTTCACTTGTTTGTCTTCGTGAATTTCTTGGATTTTTGGATTTACTGTGAACTAGGTTTTCTTCATGTTGTGAAACTACCCCAATCACGACACACAAATATAAAATAATAATGACAAGGAAAAACAAGATATGCGAGTAATGAGAGCAAGCTTTCCACTAGAGATTGTAGAATTGCAATATAGAGGATTATAAAGAGATGTCACACACAAACCCTTAACCCTTTTGTATCCAATCACTCACAAGGAAAATACTAAATTCTAAACAAGAATTCTCTCACACCACACAATGTGACTTCTCAAATACAATGAGAGTAACCGCTTTACAAAGAGTTATTGTGCTGCTCTAATATCTTGTGTTGTTGATCCATGCTATGATCAACCATATAATATTTATAGGATTTTGCACTGCCTTTGTACCTCCTTCTCCAAGTTTTTAGTGTTTTCTAGCATGTGACTAAAGTACAAAGTCAAACTTTGCTTGTATTCCTTTTAATCACATTTCCACATCTTGCACCATTCTTCTATTACCTTCTAGCTGTTTCTAGAAGTACCTTTATGTAACGACCCAAATCGGAGGTCCGAATCGCTAACCGGGTCCTCACCCGAACCCGAGGACATACTAAGAGTAAAATGGTCTTTTTACAATATGAAAGGATAATATAACCTTAAACTAGTCAAATGAAGTTTAAAACAATCATTCTAGTCATTCCATGACACTCGGTGAGGTTCTACGGTCTTCGGTTATGAATTCCCGAAAGCACCTTTACTCGGTTCAAGGCTAATTCTGACACTGTTCCTAAAACCACCATAACTCTTAACATGAATGGAATTTGAAGATGAGGTTGGTCTCATTAGAAAGCTAACTCAAAATCCTTGAAAATGGAATCAAGAATGACCTAATTTGGGTTTGGAACAAAGAAGTTATGACCATTCGAAGTTAATTGATCAAAGCTGATAAGCTGACAAAGCAAATGGTGCACACTAGGGTACTTGAACCGGTTCAGTGGGGCTGAACCGGTTCAAGATGGTCATTATGCCCACTTGAGAACCATTTGCACCCCCTTGAACTAGTTTAGCGGGGCTGAACCGGTTCAAGATGCCCAGAACCCTGAAAATGCCCCAGAAAGCTTAAAATATTGGATTTTTACATATTTGCACTATTTTGGTCCCTATGTAACCTTATTCAAAGCCCAAACCTGCCCCAAATCTTTCATTTGACAGTATATGAAACATAATTAAACTCTCGTACATTCAAATAAATCGGATACAAGCCCAACACATCATTTAAAGATCAAATTATATAAATCTCATTTCTACATAATTTCAAAGAAATTAAATACAAGAATGAGGCCTCTATGGCCAAAATTACATAACTTTAGTATAAATAAACTGAAGTCCTAACTACATCGATATCCATGGATGCATATCATACACCGGCTCATCTCCGAGTTCCTGAAAAATGTTAATAATGATAGGATGAGTTCAACAGCTTAGTAAATAAAGACTAAAATACATTCCTAAAAATCCCATGAGCCACAACCAAAGAAAGGAAAAACAAAGAAAAGGGATCATGGGATTATGAATCATATAAATCATACATGAATTTCATCAATTCACAAACCATACCATTAAACATGAAATGCAAATGTTCTCTTCTTCCTCTCCAACCCAACCTCACTAAAACATTCTTAACCACTACTTTAACTTACAACAACATCCCTCATCTCACTTCCTAACCTTTTCTTCCACATTAAACCTCTAATCCTCTCAATTCACCCAATGCCAAGAATATGCATATCATACTACCATTTATCAATATACAAGTCATTATTTACATCATGATTATCATATCAAACACCCAAACATAAAAATTGGTCACATAATTCATACTTTCACATTTTCTCATAGAAAGCAGCATGCTTGGCACAAATACAAGAAATTATCATATTCTCAATCCATAACAATTAATTCAACACTATCTAATGCTTAACATCATAACCAAAAAGCTACAAACTAAGCATGCTTCACAATATCAAGATTTTCATGTAAGGAAATACATAGAATCTCACTAAAATCATAGGAATTCGTAATTTAGACTTCCCCTACCTCAAAATAGCAACCCAAGCTCCAAGCTCCAAACTCAAATCCCACCAAAAGCTTGCAATACCAGTACCAAAATGTAGCCCTTGCAACGATCTATAATTTGCTAATTCCGACTTAAACCAAATCATCTTTTAGTATGAAGAAATTCTAGAGAGAAGGAATAGAGTAATATGGAGAGAAAAAGAAAATGGAGAAAGAGAGAGCATGTGGTGTGTGGTCCGAAAATGAGGAAAAGAAAAGAATGGGTCAAAATGAAGCCACTTTCTTGGCTTCTAGAATTCTCTAGGTTGGTCTATGAAACCCAAATGACAAAAATGCCCCTTAAACTTCTTTATAACCTCAACAATGCCATAAAATATCACCCTCCATTTAATACCACTAATACAACATACATACATGTATATAAACACACACACACATGTGAAATGTCGATGACGCCCCTCACTTAAGATGAGAAAATCGGGAGAAGTTTCTGAGTTCGGAAATCGTCCTGACTTCTGAAAATTTCTAAAAATGAAACCGTCACTTCTAATTGACTTAAAATGATTAAAAATACACTTCTAATTCCCTTTGCTCAAAAAAATGACCAAAACGCCCCTCGGGGCCCGTGTGATGCAAAATGAGGTAAGGATTAAAATAATCAAAAAAAATCAAATAAATTTGAGAAATTAGAAAATAGGAAAAATCGGTAATATTACAATCTCCCCAATTTTAAAAGATTTAGTCCCCGAAATCAACCCACCTCACAAAAGAAAGACGAAAGGATACAAACACAGAGTACGTCTCCAAGTACCCTACACAACACGATATACCTCAAAATCTCAACACGAAGAATCTCACATCCTGTGTCACTCGCAACCCTGTGCTAGTGACCTAACGCAACAATGACCGAACGGTAACCACAGTCACCCGTAACCTTTCTCCCACAACACTAACTGGGCATAAGGGGACACCCTATGCCGAACAAAATTCTCTATCGCCACATACAAAGCACAAGAGGCACAAGCCCCCAACCAACTCCGTGACTCCACTAAGTCCTGACCATTAAGAACCATT